TGCCCACTTCCATTGTATAGGAATAGGGAAAAGGGGCTACCAGGCTTTGGGCTGATTTGCCAAGGACAATTCATTTAGGCCAAACAGTGGGCTTTAATTCATCCAAACAAGAGCAGGAAGCCAAAAATGACTAACTGGATTAGTGTGACCCGGCAACGTCTCCTCAAGAAAGAATGCAAAATGGTGACAGCAGCTTACGCAGTATTGGTTTCTGGGTTGGCTAAGTCCTCTTTGGGGGCTGCCGAGGAGTTGGCTCTGAGGGGTGGGAGGACTCCCTGTATTTGCACGTTGCCATTCTCTGTGTGTGAGTGTCCTTAAGTAACCCACCTGGCCTGGAGAAGAAAGCCAAGTGTCACACCCAGTTCTGGATTCCACATTAACAACCTCCTTCCGCAGTGTTAAACTTTGCCCTTGAGGCCTTTTGTTTAACTTTTTAATTTGAAAAACAGATTCTGCTGCGTCAGTCTGTCCTGCCCTCCCTGCCACCCACCCCCAGCACCCTCTCCTCCTTTTTTTGGTTAAAGTAAAATATAACTGTCTCAAACAGACATTTTTCTTTCTGTCTCTAACACGTGCATCCTGCCTTCTTAGTGAAAAGAGAATATAACAGGCTGTTTAGAAACTCGTTAATACATATTAGAACGATTGTTGTGAGCTAAGGAGTTGGGTCGATTACCTTCATCAGCCATTATCTTCGGCAGTCTCATGACCAGATTTTGGAAGATGGTCTCTGTTTTCCGAGTGCTCTCCATGAGGCATAAGAAATAGAACAGATTGGCACCGTCAAAGGTACCTCCTGCCATTTCAGGCTTCCTGTTTAGGATGCAGTCAGATAGATATTGTTTATGGTTCATAAAACCTGACTACTGTGAGTATTCCCGAATCCCAGCAGAATGGGTTTCGAACTTTCATGGAGCTGTAAATTAAGGGGTGGGAAGTGTGATAAAACTCCTTAGAGAACTGTGAGAGGAAAAAAAGTCGCGTCGCAATGGTTAAATGAAATTTTATAAGCACATTCAGTGTGGAGCTGTTTTGCATTACATGAGTTGAATACCTTAGAGACGCCACATCTGCAGGCACTTTATTAAATCCTTAGTCAGCACTTTCCAACCTGATGAGATTACTTCTTCATTTGACTGGAGAAAAGGAAAGCTGAGCTCTTGTCCTGGACTGCAGATTTCTTTTGATGTTTCACCTTGAACACTGAAAAAGGACAATCACCCCCCTTGCCTCTCCCCTCCCCCTCAGCACATCCCAAACTTTAGACGTTGTGACTATAACTGACTAATTTTACGCAACTGGAGCCTTTGTAGGAGCGTGGATTTATGGATCTCCAAAACAACTGTAGCCGAAAGTTCCTGAGCAAAAAAAAATAGATCAAAGCTTTGTGTTTACTTCCTTAATGTAAATGTATCAAGATAACATCATCCTATATTGTATTGTAATAGTGCCACTCACTGCAGATAAGGGACAGAGATTCCTTTGTAGTCCATTTGGATACAGTAAGTAGGTTAGATTAAGGGGCTATAAAGTATGAAGGCAGAAACCATATGAAACCTAAGCTTATGTCAGTGAATGTCTGAAGACGGTTTTTTGACTGTCCATAAGTAGATTTTGTTTAATGTGTCAACATTTTCCCAGTGATTTGCTATTCAACCCCAACAATTTCATAGTCTCAGATTTCTTTTATGTTTTTCCTGTATGGCCCAAGAAGAAAATATGCAGAATCATTCTTCAATTAATGTTTTGAAACTTGTGCTTGCTTACATAATAGAAATTATGAGAAAACATCACAAGAGAAAAATGGGCTTTTCCAAATATTATCTTGTCCATCTGGTGTTATTAGCAGTTCCTGGAAGTTTATAGCAATCAATTGGCTACTACATGTGTGATTATCACGCTCATCACAATGGGATTATGAACGTCTTCAACTACAAACTGATCATAAGAAAATTTAGTGAAATGGATGATTTTTTTAAAAAATTATTATTATCAAAACTATTTATCTGGCATCTCCACAAACAAATGATTTAATCACAGAGGCTTCATTCAAAAAAAAAAAAAAATTCCCTGTGTGGTTCCCCTAACCAACTTCCCATTCTGGAAGCCCTTGGTCAAGTAGCAGGGTTAATTGTCATGAAGATTAGTGTGATGTTGAAATAAGTACTAATGGTCAAATTATAGGAGTGAAAAAGTTTAAGAATAGGTTTTGGTTTGGGCCTGAAAGGGTTAATTAAGGTTTTTTCATGGGTTATTAAAGACCCCCAACCTCTGCCTTCAGGAGTCATATTGACACCCCACCACAGGGCAGCTCTGCTCCTCTATTGACATGTTGCTGGTCAGAGCACAATAGCCTTCTGTGTCTGCAAATCATTGCTAAAATCATCTCAAGGAAAAAAAAAAAGTTTGAAAGCTTTAACGTTAGACAAAAGCCCAAGAGTTGCAGTGTGCAGCTCAAAAACCCGGAGTCAGCAACTTCTATTGATTAAAAACTAACCTTTAAAGTAACTCCGAGAGTGTGTGGTTAGCATTTAAATTTAAACATGTCATGAGTTGATTTGTGTTACTGAATACCAACTCAGAAGGAGTAACATTCACATCGCATTTTTTTTTCTAATTCCCTTAAGCAGCTAAAGTATTTCATGAAATGTCAATAGGGCAAAAAGAAAAAGAGGAGGGGGGCCCTGATGCTGGGCCTGTAGTCTTCTTTCCCATGCAAATATCCACCCCCCAAAAGTGTGGAGAGTGAAACACAATAATTAGTCCTTTGTCTAACTTTCCCAAGTGCTAGAGAAAGACAGATTAATTAAATATACAACAGTGTTGGTTTTTGGAGTGGGGGTCTCGCTTGCTGTGTAGGTCATAAATTAGGCAGAATAAATACTTCAATGTGTTTGCAGTGGGCCTGCTACGTCAGAACCACTGGAAGGTTGGTGGGAGGAGAGCAGAGGGTTTCTTGCTAATGATAGTCACGTCTGGGTCTGTCTGGTTGCTCTTAGCAACCAGACATGATGTAACACCAGGATGAACTTGAACTTGGGGGACTTGAAAAGAGAACAATAGACCAGAGCAATCAATAAAGCCTATTTCAGTGAAGGATTACAGAGCTGCTCTGGGGTAACCTTGTCGGCAAGGCATATACTGAATAGTAAGATGTGTGAAGAAACTTTTTTTTTTTTGCTTTGCTGTTTAAGAGAAGTGCAGAGGCACTGCAGATTTTTGTAGTGCCCTGAGGTCTCATCCAGAAACTGTGGTGTGGAGAACTGCTCCCCCTGCTGACTCACTGGGTCCCAGGCCTTTGCTTCAGGAACTACCGTAGTGTCCAATAGAAGAAGTCTGGAATTTTACAACTGACTTGGAAAGTGTGAAAACAGACATCGTAAGCATTATTCCCCGCACCCAAAGTTTTGTGAAAGAGGAAGCGGCTCTAACGTGGATCAGAGTCAGCTATTAGGAGAGGCCCACAGAAAACACGCTCTGGAATTACCTTCTCTCTCCTTTCTTTCTCCCTCTTCTTTCTTTTGTCCAGTTAGATTTAGGCCGTGTGTATTTGCCAGGATGATTTCCTTTCAGGACACAAGAGACTTTATTGTATTCCTCAAAGCATGTGGTCAACGAATAACATGGAAAAGTATACAGGATGAGTAGTTTTTTGGTTTAGGCTTGGGTTTTTTAAACTCCTCTGGAAATCAAAGGTAGCTTGTGTGCCCAGGAAATCTTATACCAACCTCTGTGTACCTATCATTTAGCCATTTATCCATGGGGATCACACACGTCCTTACTTTACCTAATTGAATCTCTTGGACAGGGAGGAGCCCTCACCTGACTGAATCAACCCAAATGTAACCCTTTCCGATACTGTCAACTGAGAGAATTCAGAAGCATTCACGTTTGCTAGAAGTCAATGATTTTGCTGTCAATAATGATGAATGTAGTGAATTTGTCAGGGTATCTCTAGAGAAAAGTTGGCAAAAGCCAGACACTTTTTAATTTCACTGGAGAAACCCTGATATTACTCCATAATTGGTCGGTTTGTTTAAGTAACAGAAGAAGAAATGCCAGCAGACAAAGCGAGGTATCACCAGACACTTGCTCAAAGCTAATCACCTAAGGATTTATGAAAGGAAAAGGTAACCAGTAACCGGGCCCCCCAGGCACACAGAAGGTTTTAAACAAATATTGAATGAACAAAAGCATGAATGAGGAACATGCAGTGGCCTCATTGTTCCTTTGTACGACATGGTAGTCAATAGGGAAAAATTTTAATCCTACTTGAGTATTACGTGTCATTTTTGAAAATATTATTTTAGAAATATTGAACCGAAAGGAGCATTTTAGGTCATAAAATCTTACATGTATAAAGAAATGGAGTGCAAGGGAAATGCCGTGACTTGCCCACAATTATGCAGGAGGCCTGGGACAGCACTGCCCCACTCTGCGCCACTTATCTTCATACCACTGCCGACCACCTGTGCCTGTTAAAAGAGGGTAATGATCACACCCGCAGTGCCTGGCCCTCACTGAAAAGGAGACGTGAAAATCACCCGTGCCCCATGTGGCACCATTCCATGCCACGTGAAACCTCTCCCTTGACGCATTCTCCATTCTTTCAGCACTTCCTCCTCGGGAACATTCTGTGTTCCAGGCACCGGGTTAGGCACTGAGGACCGAATGATAAACCAGGTGTCGTGCCCTCCTATACCTGCCCCCACCAGACTACAAAACCTGTATTTGTATTTTAAGAGGACAGAAATACTTCATTTTGTAAAACGTACTCAGAATGCTGGCAAACCTTCATGACAATGGATTTTAATTTCAGAGGAGTAAGATCAGTTTCAGTACCTCAGGATCTGCTATTGTCTGTCATTCCTTTACGTTTCCTGGCGAACCCCCCCCTCCTCCCTACCATAGATCCCAATGTCATAATTGGAAAGGCAACTTCTAAAATATGCTGTTGTACAAATCGTACTTCTAATTGTCCTTTTCCTTTTGTTTTCCAGTCCTGGTACCTGGGATAAAAGTTGCAGCGTCCCACCATCCACCAGACAGACCACCTGACCCCTTCTCAACTCTGTAACATGGACGCAACCTCAACTCAGCGCGGTTACAACTTCACTGTCAGTGGAAGGGGAGAAATACCGATTCAAATCAACTTGTACATGGAAACAGCGAGCATTATGGTCAAACAGCAAAGGCCATAACCTTTTGGGATTTTTTTTTTTTTTAAAAAATACTTTAGGGACTGTTGTAATTTCTCATATGGTGCTGGAAATGGTTGGGCTTTGTAACATTTGAAATGTTTTCCATGGTAGCGTGAGCATTAGGTGACTTGGCTAGCAGAAGACTACCCTTGCTCACTGACTTCCTGTTGTAACACACTTTCCTTACGGAGCCCGGCTGTTTCACAGTATTTCATGAATTTACCCACACAGGTGTGGTCCTCCTTGGCCATTCAGGGGACACATGGAGAACTAAATCTTTTGTAGTAGCTGAGATCTGCAATATATAACTTACGGGACAGTCAAAGGGCAATGTTTTTCTGTAACATATTGGAAAAAGAAAATGCAGTTATGTTCCTTTTTTATTTTTTCTTTTAGTTTGGTTTGGTTCAGCAGTCAGCAGTTAAGTATATAACATGGCCCGCAAGGACAATGAATCCACTCACATTGCAGAACAATTCTGAAAATGGCAAACTACTACTACTACTATTCAGTTTTTTAAAAGTTTTGAAATGCTGCACTTACATTAAAAAAAAAAACATTTTTTCAACAATTTCAACAATGACACAAAAATTCACATGGAAATGGGGAAGATGGTCTGTTTTGACAGAAACTGACAGGAATCAATCAAAACAATCGAATTTTGAATTGAGTAAAGTGCAATTTCATTGGATAGCTAAATATCTTTGTAAGATAGAGATTGTTGAAAATTCTATTTTTGTTTTTCAAGTCCTTTCACCCCAGGACTCTAAATTATTGGGGTAAAAAAACAGCCTTGCAAGAAAAAGGGGAGCTATTTTTGCTTTTTATGTTTTTTATTGTTAAACTTGTATCCCTTTAAAAACTGAAGGAAAATTTAAAAAAAAAACAAAAAAACAAATCTAATGGTGCTTTTACCACAATATGTTAACTACATTAAATGCTAATTAATTATTTTCTGTTATCAAAGCACATAACTAAAATGAAATCATGGTATCTGTTAATTTTATAAGCTAGAAGTCACTATAATGGATTATGCCAATTCTGAAAATTTTTACATATATCTGGCAACATAGGATTTATCAGTTATCAGACACCTCATTGTACCAGAGATTGTCCAGGAGTTTAAAGACCTTTGCGTCCCTGAACTGGGCTATGGGAAAAAACAAATAATAATAACAATAATGAAACCAATACTGACATAAATGCTGGTACCCATTCAGATCAAGGGTACTTGTTAGGGAAAAAAAAAGTTTGCACCCCCAAATGTCCTGTATCTTATGTAAAAAACAACAACAACAAAAAAAAACAAAAAAACAGAAACAAAAACAAAAAAAAGTGCAAGTGATTTTTCTACCAGACAGCGAAGCACCCCTTTGCTTCCCATGCAACTTCAAGAAGGTTTCCTATACTATACATATATATACGTTCTGGTTGGCAAGCCCTGCTGATCAGAGAAAGTCTCTGCATGTTCTAGTGTTAGTAACTAATTTTTATATAGTTAATGTAGGATAAAGTAGAGTGCATTAAGACACAATATTGTAATCCCTACTCTAGGCACTTGCCTTTAAACTATGTTTTTCAGCCCTTCAGAAGGGTTCTACTACTGTCCTATACAATCAAGTAACTGAAATTCTTGGGAAGACACTTTGCTCCTCATCTTTCCCCCGAAACAATGTTGTTTTGTTTTGTTTTTTTTCCTTAATTTGCACGAAAACAAAAATTCCATATCAATGTGCCTTGCCCTGGATAGCGATTATTTGTGGAATTGTTGCACATGCTCCTCTATTGAAAGGGGTTTTTCCCTAGTCAAGCATTTGGAGACACTTTTTGTAAATGTGACTTTTATGTCAGCCATCGTCAGTTTCAACATCTAGACCTAAATAGAGAGTTAGTTGTTCCGCAGATAGGAGTAGTCTTTATTGTCCTGTATGGTCGGTGGCAGTGCTATTCTGAGATCTGTAGATGCTTAGAATATCAGTATTTTGGATGTTGCTGCATTTTACAATTTATTTGGAGTCTTCCTTTATTTTCCCCCCAGATATATGAAAATATGCAATACCTGCTTATATCATGTAGAAAAGCTTAGCAATTATTAATTTTTCTTTTATTTTTTTTTATTTGACCAAAGTCGGTGCTGCACTTGACGCAGTGTGTTTTAGGTGTTTGTCTTTGTACTTTTTTGTGATTTTTGAATGCACGTGCGCAGGAAGGGCTCCTCTTAGAGAAGCAGTCAAACTGTGAAGCACTAAGCTGACCCTGCTTCAAGCAATTTTGTTTTTACAACTGTTCCTTTCACAAGCAAGCCTTAAAAAAAAAAAAAGACAACTTCCTTTTTCTTCAGCTCCCACACCCCATTTTTCTTAGCAGACTGCAGTCAATCCACATTCAATAAAAAGTATATAATGCCCATTTTTATATGCACGTTTTTAAACTTCCAAGTTCTGAAAATTGTTTACTGGTTATCTCTATTTAAGGAAAAAAAAATAAAATAAAACATTTTGGATTTTCATATGTGTCTGATAAGTGGTTGAATAGTCGTTTGGCGCTGTTGTATGGTGTGATTGTCAGTGTACGGTGTCACTTCTATAGCCAGCCAGCATACTTTGCCTTCCCCTATAGCACTTAGCTGGGCATTACTTTATTATGACATATGTGCACTAAAAAAAAAAAAAAGAAAAAAAAAAGAAAAAAAATAGCAGCTTTCAGTGCTTCACAGTGAAGGGAAAAAAGCCTAGACAAACATTTTGTCAGAACCTTGCAATAAGCCAAGGTATTACCAGTAAATTGGTTGTATATACAATAAAATTGCACCCTTTTTTAAACAAAACAAACTAAGCAATAGTTTGGGCAGTTTTAGTTGTTTTTAGTGAGCATGTTGTAGTCATGACTGCAAAGAGAGAATAAACTGCCCACTCAGAAGATATGTAATTTGTATTGTTGTATAGTTTTATTGATTACACTGATTTATTCTACCCTATTTTATAATGCAGGACTTTTGTAATGTTGTTTAAATGAGGAAAAATTTCTGTCAAATTAGCCTAGTGAAATTTCTGATTGTTCATTATAAAGGCAGCGTTCATAGAATTGCTTTTCTTTCTCCCCCAACCCCCCTTGGGAACTGGATTTAAGTTTAAAACTTTCCTGTTTCCTTTTTTTTTTTTTTTTTTTTGAGACAGTCTTGCTCTGTTTTTCAGGCTAGAGTGCTGTGGCGCCAGCTGCTTGAGAAGTATAGGTCTACTGAAAAACCATTGTAAATGGACATTACAGGTATGCTGTATTTTTGAAGGTATTTTGTTGTATTAAGTTTGATG